GGGGGGGAGGCAGGGGGGTGAAAGTATTTTTGCGCAGAACATCTTCTTGCGTAGGCGGCCTTCGGCCGGGCTTAGGGATTATGACCCTTACTAAGTAGAATTCTTCTTTCTGTGTTTCCGGAAAAGGGAGGCGGAAGTATTTTTGCGCAGAACTTCTTTCTGCGTGGGCGGCCTTCGGCCGCTCTTACGGATTATAACCCTTGCTAAGTAGAATTTTCCTTTGCGTGTTGCCGAAAAAGGAGGGGCGGCCGGAAGTATTTTTGCGCAGAACTTCTTTTTGCGTAGGCGGCCTTTCTAAGTATAATTCTCCTTTCTGTGTTGCCGGAAAAGGAGGGCGGAAGGATTTTTGCGCAGAACTTCTTTTTGCGTAGGCGGCCTTTCTAAGTATAATTCTCCTTTCTGTGTTGCCGGAAAAGGAGGGCGGAAGGATTTTTGCGCAGAACTTCTTTTTGCGTAGGCGGCCTTTCTAAGTATAATTCTCCTTTCTGTGTTGCCGGAAAAGGAGGGCGGAAGGATTTTTGCGCAGAACTTCTGTTTCGTAGGCTTAGGGAGTATAAACCTTTCTAAGGCAGTCTGCCCGCGGGTCGTATAGCTTTAGACGCGTATTAGATGCTACATACGAAAGTTGTACGCTTTGATGCCGCACACGTGCATTTAAATGGAGGGCTGTTTACGAGTCGTCAACTTCACGAATTCGTCAAAGCAAGCTAGCTGCAAATCGCTTAGCGTACAGCAATGTTGGTAGCTAGGTGTACGTACGCTTAGAAAAGAGAAAGAAGAAGTTTGTTTGCAATTATCCGTGTGCGTGCATGCATTTCATAAATAAAAAACGATAAAACAATAAAATCCGTGCAAATAATAGAAAAATAACTGAAAAGAAATAATAATTTTGCATCACTTAACATTTTTGGCTGGTACTTTGACGCTGTGAAGTTGCTTTGTGTGCAGATCTTGAGACGTAGAGGAATCGTTGCTGCATAAACAATTTCATACGCGTCTAAAGCTATACGAACCGTGTGCACACTGCCTAAGTAAAATTCTCCTTTCTGTGCTGCCGGAAAAGGCGGGCGGAAGTATTTTTGCGCTGAATTTCTTTCTGCGTAGGTGGCCTTCGGCCGCGCTTAGGGATTGTAACCCTTACTAAGTAGAATTTTCCTTTCTGTGTTGCCGGAAAAGGCGGGCGGAAGTATTTTTGCGCTGAATTTCTTTCTGCGTAGGTGGCCTTCGGCCGCGCTTAGGGATTGTAACCCTTACTAAGTAGAAGTACATAGTTCATATTAGAAAAAAACGAATTTATCCATATGTACACTTTCATTAGAAAACCGAAATAATGCACATAACAAAAACCGAAATAATGCATGCATGCACAATTTCGGTTCAAAACCGAAATAATGCATATGTGAAAGACGAAATAATGCATACATGCACAGTTTCGGTTGAAAACCGAAATTCAACTTTAGTATAATAATGTGCAAGTATGAATTAAAAGTCAACGGTAAGAGCTACACGTAAAGTTGAATAGGTTACAAAACTGCATACCCAAAAGATTTCTAAAAATTCTGCATTTTCATGAACTTTGCGTAAAGTTTTATGTCCTTATTCATAAAAAATAAAAAAGGTTTATAAACTGAAAAATTTATGAAAATGTCATTTGATTAAGCTCTTTAAACCTACTTTATTTTTTATGAATAAGGCTATTAAACTTTAACTTATTTGGTTTATGTTATGCAACAGACTACACGAAATTTCAGTTTATTTTAAGTGATGGACAAAATTGAATGATAATATCCATATAAGCAAAGAAAATCGGGTTGCCAATGGAAGAAAAAATTTAAAAAGTGTGTTTTTTAAAAAGTTTTCGATACTACGAGTACTTTGTAAAGTATCGAGTAAAATCACCAAATAAGGTATCGAGTATTAAAGGACTAATTTTTATACCCTCAGCATCGATACTTACTCAATATCGATAGTATCGTTCGAACCCTATGTATGTATGTATTTATAGCGCGTCTACCATTCAATTGCTTTACTCACTGCTGGCGCCAAAAGCGTGTTGGCAGGCTAGTTGTGCGGAACGTATGCACAGTTTCCATATGCGCAATTTCGGTGCCCCGATAACGGTACTTGAAACGGTAAATTTTAACTTTTTTGGAAATAAAGTTATCAGTTTTAAAGTTATTTTACCAAAATTTTGCACGTGACTGTTTTTCTGAAAATCATCGAAATCGGTTTACTATAACGTATGCATAGCCTCCATAGAACTGATTGTTCGCATATGAGGCTTTTTACTAAAAAATGTATCATTAATCAGTTGAATGGAAAATGTGGCTGCATTTCTTTATTCATTCTGAACGTTTGGAATAAACCTTTTTGTTTACTTATTCTTTAGAACGTTCCTGATGATATGTTAACGTATATTTCAAACGCATTCTGTTTATTCCGGCTGTGAAACAGGATTATCCGGAATGTATAAAGAAACGCAGCCTGTATGTTATAGTAAACCGATTCGGATAATTTTCAGAATTAAAATAACTTTAAAACTGAGGGAGTTATTAACAAAAAAGTTAAAATTTTAAAGTACCATTACCTCCGAAACTGGATTCAATCTGAAAAAACGGGAACGCCATTGAATTTAGAAGGCGCCAATTAAGTACAAACAAGTATCGAAACCTTTGCCCAAGAAAAAAATTTCAATATGAGTAGTCCACTTGCAAACAGCGTTATGTGATTTTATGATAGTAAGCCATAGATTAAAAAAAAAACTACGACAACAAGTAACATCTAAATTGCATCTTTTTTTATACTGCCGTGAAGTTGGCCCCCGAACTTTCGACAAATGTGAAATTTTTTAGAGTTCTGGCTAGATTTTAAAAAGTTCTAGAGCTCCTGACTGGAAATTGCAAATATTCCGGGGAATTTTGGGCAGAAATCGAAAAAAAAACGATTTGGGGGCCAACTTCACGCGGCTGCCTTTTTACCAGGGAAAAGAGTTCTGACGCCATATTCCAGTGTACGATAAAGAGTTCTGAAAGGGTTTTGTAAATAGTTCTGCAAAAAAATCAAAAAATTCTTTATTTGAGAAATTTTACCTAATTCTTTCACCGTTTACCTCATTTGTTTTTCAGAGTTCTGTTGAGAGTTCTGAGTAGACCCTTGAGAGTTCTAACCAAAACTCTTATAAAGTTTTTTTTGTCCGACCAATAGTAAAAAAGTTATAAGCAACAACA